CCAGCCTCCTCCCTCAGACCCAGGGGTCCAGGCCCAGCCTCCTCCCTCAGACCCAGGGACCTGGCCACTTCTCTCCAGGGGTCCAGACCCAGGGACCTGGCCACTTCTCTCCAGGGGAGGTACAACCTGAGATAAGTGGCCAGGTACCAGTCCCTGGCTTCCCAGGTGCCAGTGGGACAGAACTTCACCAGTCTGGAATTTGGCTGTTGGCCATCTCTGCTCTCTCCCTCCCAGACAGGCTGCCTGGACTCCAGGGCTGGGGAGAGGAAACCTTCAACCTGGGCATTTCATCCCTGACCTCCTCCTCCTCCTGACCTCTTGGCATTCACAGTGGTGACAGCATGACCCCCARCCCCTGACTCTGCACAGCCCAGTCTTCTGGGCCACCTCCCCGCCCAGGGAAGGAGGTGCTAGCTCTATCCCTCTTTGCAGGTGAGCGGGAGGAGGCTGAGCCCAGGGAGGAAGAGACCCAGCCAAGGTCTGCCTGCTGCAGGTGGGAGGGGCCCTGGCAGCCCACACCCACCCTCCCCCCTGGACCTCAGCCCTCGGCCTCGCGTCGCCCAGCCCCACCAGGCCTCGCAGCTCACTCTCCTCAGCCCTGTCCCTCGTGCTGTTTCTGTCCTACCTGCCCCTTCCCATCCCCGCTGGCTCAGCTGCACCTTACCTGGCTCTGGGCTCACCCCTCCGCTGCGGGGCTCCCGAGTCCCGGTCTGCCTCGCCCCTCCGGGCTTCTCCCCTCCCTCCTCTCCATTCCTTCCCYGTCCCTTCTGCTGTCCTTCATCCTCCCTCCCTTCCCGGCTTTGTCTCCTTCTCCGCGACCCTCGGCGCCTTCCCCACCATTTCGGCCTCCCTCGGCCCTCTCGCCGGCCTCCTCCCCGGCCCGGCCCTCTCCCCCTTTCTCCTTCCCTCCCCCTCCCCCTCTCTTTCTCCTTCCCTCCCTCCCTCCCTCCCCCTCGCGCTCGGAGCCAGGTCTGGAGCTGGGGGTGGGGTGGGGGTGGGAAGGGGCCCGGGCTGGGGAGCGACCTGCCGAGGAGGGCGGAGGSCGGGAAGGGGCGGAGGAGGAAGGGAGGCGGGGGCGGCCTGCGGTCCGGCTCCTTCCCCCTTCCCTCCTTCCCGGCCTCCCCGACCCTCCGCGGGGGCGAGAGTCAGGCCAAGGTGGGGAGGAAGGGGAAGGGAGGCGCCCCCCCAGCCAACCTGGCCCGCCGCCCGGCCGGCTCCCGGCATGCCCCGGGGCTGCCTGGGGCCTGGGGAGGGGGTGAGCGGAGCCGGGAAGCGCGTCCCGGAGATTCCTGGGACCCGGGCATCGCCCCCACTCCCCGCCGGGCTCTCCCGGGAAACTGAGGCCCGGGGACCAGGGTCAGGGCTCKTTCAAGGTCACCGGGCGAGGCGTAGAGGAGCTCCCTAGGTCCGCAGGCCCGCTCGGGGAAGGGGTCGSCACTGTACCTCCCCCAGGCCTGGGTCCCCCTCCCCCTCTTCGCGGACCCTGGGGAGCCCCCAAGGGTCAGAGAGCAGACCCAAACAGTCTGGCACCATAGCAACCGGATGGCCCCGCCCCCTTAACCCCTGGAGGGCTGGACTCCAGCTGGGGCGAGGGAGGAGGTGGGGACCCCTGGGTTCCGGGGCAGGACCCCCACACCCCCTACCCCAATCCAGGCTGCTAGATCCTGGGGATCTGGACTCTGGGTTCTAGAGGAGGAAGGGTTTGGGGTCCGTTCCTAGGGAGGAGGGGCTGGGGTTCTGAACTTGGGTTTCCAAAGTGGGTGGGGGTTACGGTGTGGACTCCTGGGTCTGAGCGCAGAAGGCGGAGGGGGGGTGGACCCCTGGGTCCTGGGAAACGTTGGCTAGGGGTTCAGATTCTGGAATTCGGGAAGGGGCAGGGTGGTGGACTCCCAGGTCTGAGGGAGGAGGGGGCTGAGGCCTGGAATCCCGGGTCCCCAAGGGAGCCTGGACSCTGGGCCTCTCCTCCGCCAGACATCCCCTGCCCCCGGCGCTGACCCGGGCCTGTCTGGCAGCCCAGACAACCTCCCCCTCCTCCTCAGCCCCCTCCCACTTGCAYGGCTCACCCTTGACCCCTCAAAGCCCCGCAGCCCCATCCCTCCCCCTCCCCCTCCCCTCCAGCCAGACGTTAACCGTTCCGCTGCCGGAGGCACCTCCAAAGCCAGACTGTCTTCCTCCACCTCCCCAGAGGTCTCGGCATCTGTCCCTCAGTCCCTTCCACCCTCCGATCCTACCTATCCCAGCCCACCTCTCTCCTCCCTCTGGAATCTAGGAGACGTTCCCAGCTTTTGCAGCCTCTGGACCCCGGAATTCAGGTCCCTACCCCCTCTTTCAGTGATTCCCAGCCCCCCAGCCCCAAGAACCCAGAAATCCAGGCCCCGCAGCCTCCTCCCTTGGGGACCCTGGAGTCCGGCCCCAGCCCCATCCCCCTCTGGTTCCGCAGACTCACGGCTCCCGCGGCTCCCGCGTCGGGGGAAGGGGTCTCCTCCACTAGCCCCGGGCCCGGCGGGAGGCCGGCCGCCGCCGCGAGTCCTCTCCATCCTCTCCCGCCTCCGCCGCCCGCGGCCTCTCCCCTTCCTCCCGCCGCCCCGCCATCCTCCTCCCTGTCCCCGCTCCCTCCGGCCGGCGCCTCCCGGCTCTGCGGTCCGGGGCTCCCCTCCCAGGACCCCGCTTGGCGGCGCGGTTCGGACCAGCCCCCTCCCCGGGGGGCCCCCGCCCKGCCCCTCCCCGCTGCCCAGCCCAGTCCGGCCTGGCTTCCCCCCTGCCCCGGAGCTGGCCCCGGTCCAGGGGAAAAAATTCCATCCAGCCCCGGGGAGGAGGAGCGGGGCGGAGGAGGGAGCKGGGAGGGGAGGCCGGGCCAGGGGAGCATGACGCAGGGAGGAGGGAAGGGACAAAAGAGAGGCCGGGAGGCGGCGGGCGGCCGGCGCGCCCACTGCTCCCTCCCTCCTCCCTGGCCAGTCCCCGTCCTCTCGCGGCGGCTTTCCCTCGGTCCCCTCCGCCTCTCCTCCTTCCCTTCTCCGGCCTCCTCCCTCTTCTCGCCAGCCTCCCTCCTGGCCCTGCGCGATCTCTCGTGCCTCTCCCTCCGCTCGTGTCATTGTGTCATTCTTTCTTTCCTCCTCGCTCCGGTCTCGGTACGTCTGTCCTTCCACTGCCGGCGTGTCTTCGTCCTCCGCGCTGGGGCTACGGGTCTTGGCGTCTGACTCTCCCTCTCTGCCGGTCCCCCTCCCGGTGTGTCCCCTGGCTGCTCCCGGGGCTCCVTCCTCCCCTTCTCCGGCCTCCTCCTTCCCCCTCTCCTCTCCCCGACACCTTCCCCAGGCAGGGTCTGCAGTTCCCGCTCCCTCTCTGCTCGCCCAGCCTCCCTCCCCTCGCTGAGGTTCGGTACCCCCGCCCCCCACTGGGGACGCGAAGGTGAATCAGACCCAAACGTGCCCTGGCAGCGGGAGCTCACGGTGTGACGGGAGAGACAGACCCAGCCGCAGACAGTCCCATTCCGGGGTGATGGGGTGTGACCGAGGGCAAGACCAGAGGCTGAGAGAGCCGGGGCGGAAGGAATCCTGGCCGCAGGTCCACCAGGGAGGACCTCCAGAGAAGGCGTGGTTGTGGCGTGACCTCCAAGAACCAGAAGTTAGACCTGAATTGTTGAGAGGGGCAGCAGTAAGGGCGTTCCAGGCCCAGGGCACAGCTTAAGCAAAGGCCCAAAGGCAGGAAACCCAGGTGATTC